CACCTCGGCCATTCAACCCATCGATTAATAAGAAAAGACCGTTTTGTGGCTCCCTCTGTTACAATTAATCCTGAATTTAAAATAATAATAATATTTGGCCTACATATATAAATCTTTTGAATAAATTTAAACAATTTATACATTTATTTTTGATACAACTTTTACTTGACACACAGAAAGCAAAAGACAGATTGTGAATTTTGATATAAAACTATAATTATTTAGATTTTGAATAGATTAAAGCAAAAAACATTATCGCATCAATCACTAATAAATTGAATCCACAGGCCTACGTTGATTAGCTTGCGTAGATTATTAGTATTGTTGTTTTAGTGACACATAATTTGTAAATGTGTAGTGACGAAAGCGACAGTTTTTCCTCTCCGGTTCTTTACAAAATTAATTATTTAAAGAAAGCGCATGTAGCCGACTTCGTAGAAGACCAAATAATACGAAAGTAGTCTATTTAAAGTGATGGAGCAAAACAATTTCTTCGAAAACCACGGAAAAAGGAAATTCTACTTTATCCCGAAGCTTTAAAAGCATTTAAGAGATGTACGATGACAACCTGTGACCAGAAATGGTCAATTCTTCTTGATATATTGATCTTGATGTCGGCTTTTGAACCGACCGAGTCATTATACGATGGTAACTGGTAGAGTATCGATTTTTATTGTTTCCACATTATAACATCTATTATAATATAGTACTAGCCGAATTACCGACTACCACAGAATACTATGTTGAATAAGATCGTATTTAAATTAAATATAACAACGTAGTAAATAAATTTTTATTGAAGTTAAAGTTTGAAATGTTTACAGTACAACTATTTTTACACACAAAAACAATGTTTTTATACTACTATATTATAAATGATCACTTATACCGTTTCTTACTTTAACCTATTTTAAGTGCATTTATTAATTTCCGTGATACAAATAATATTAATATATAGCTAAACTTTTATATATTTCGCAATGAAATATTTTTGCTCAGTCTACAAAATAAGCAGACTATAATTTTTTTAATGCTTGTTTTTTAGCGAAAGGAAGCATTTCTGCACACGCAACCCAAACACAAAAAAATCTCAACGCTAATAAATGATTGATTCTGCAGTCGAAATCTCTATAAAATATGCTAATTAGCGTTTTTCTCTGTAATCTATAACAGAACGTTCCAAATAATGTATACATTTTACATGATTAATAATTATTCGGCAGTGTATATATTAATTCCATTCCCATCTTTGATACGCGGAATTATATACAATGTTATTTCTTATTTATAACTGCATTAGTGCTATATATATAAAAATGCCTACGATAAAATCCCATAAAAAATTCAAAACAAACATCGCATGTGTATACAGTAGGCCTATATATATATAGTATAGTATGTTGGAACAAACGCTATTAACGCTTTTTATAAAATTCACTTTATAGATAAGAAAATTAACGTAATGAAGCATCACATTATTAAAATGACCTTTATAATCTCTATTTTAATCTTTTAATTATTTCACGATTCAATGGGACGAAGTAATAAATTAAAACAGTCGTCGCAAAATTTAGTTTCCCGATTTATGAAAATTGAATTAAGCAAGATATAAAATTTGGGAAAGCCTAGTAATTATACAGTAAATGCTCGGGTTCGTCCAGAATTTGGCATTTAATGTACGTTAGACAAATCATCGTAAATCTAACTGTTTAAATCATATGGTTTAAACTTAACACCTTGGATATTTGGGCAAATCAATCAGAAAGTTTAACGCGAACGAAAGATTTATTATTTTATCGCCGTCATTTACTAAACATAAACAAAAATTATGTTTTATTTGAGTTAATTAACGGCTTAAGATGCGAATTATAAAAGATGTCGATGGGCAAAACTGATATTTTCAGTTTGTTGATAACGTAAAAGTGTATAAATTAGAGGAGGGAAAAAAATCCGTTTTAACGGCAAATCCCTAAATCTGATAGCCGAGATATCGGATCCATTCAAAATAAAATATAACCCTATTATCCATTATCCTGCTTAACCGCACAATTCCCATAGAATTAAATGGAAGGGGAGGAGGGAAGTGATGAACTAGATTTGTCCCAGACGATCGCGTTACTACAGATTTTGGCGGGGATCCACAAGTATTTGAAAGCTTGTTTTAGTCACCAAACAGCTGCAAGGGATTTGTTGCTGAACTAACATTTTTTGAAATGAAGTAAAGCTTGTTATTTGTTCTACCTGATCGCGCTTGATTTGAAATTATTCTATTCTCTTTTTTCCATCTTTATATAATTTTTATGGATAATAAAATTATCCAAAAAATTTTACTTTTTATGTTATAAAAATATTCTGCAAGGATCAAGCGAACATTTTATATAATATTAAAAATTACAAATACGATCGAATCGAATCCGATTTTGAATTCATTGGAGTAAGTAATTTCATTAAGCATAGGAAATTCACAAAAAGATGATCATTAGAATCTCATCTTTTCAACATTTACAAAAAGTTCGTATACTAAAGAAAATCGTTTTAAAACAAAGATATTTCATTTAACGTCATTCGCTTTAGCGAGAATTTCGCAAATTCATTCTTAGATGAAAACGTAACCTTAAAAATTTTTCATTTTCGCGACTAACGATAAATTATCCGCTCGTTCTAAATTTCATTACTGCAATATAAAGTGATAGTTATCTAAATAGATATAGCGATTAAGTTTCGATCTACTTCTAGCCAAATGCTATTAGAAAACGTCTTCACAGTTAAAATATAGCTTAATGACGTAGGCCTGTGCACAAATTTATCACGATTTTTCCATAAAGGTCTCCGCTTCTCAAAAAGAACGTTATGATGTATTTTATTGTATTATTGTAAATTTTCGACCAAATAATTTTACTTTTGTATAATGCGAAAACATCTCCGTCGATGTAACAAAGAATAAATTTACACAATACGGCAAATTTAAACCGAAAACTTCATTTCGGAAACTCTGCCGTTAAAAAATAATTCATTCACTTATTTTTCGAGTTTTTCATTTCCAGTACTAATATATCGCATCGTCCATAATAAACGGGCCTAACATTTGAATTCCATCATCAGTAAGAAACATTAGTACTACTTATTCATGTTTTTTGATCATTTGAAAGTTGCGCCTACATCGTTAAGTTTTAAAATATATGCTTAAGCATCGTATATTTTGAAGAAGATACAATTGTTCCTATTGTCTTATTCAGAAGCAGGTAACTATTAGAAGATATTCTCGATATAAACAAAAGCAAAGATCGAAAAATGTTGATAAAATTTCTTTATATAATCTAAATTTAACGAGAAAGACTAAATATTCAAATTAACCACTAATTTATGAGCCTCGCTTAGTAGAATAATTGAATTTTTTGATATGACAATGAAATAACTAAATAAAATAATAACTGTTGTTTTAAAGAGCATTTCAACTTGTTTTTTCCCCTTCTTTGATAAGAAAACATTTATTTCTATAATAAAAATGTCAAAACTTTTTCAATAAAGCTGTATACGTCTATTGTTAAATATAATTCACCAGCTCTTAATACATCTGTTCCTAAAGTAGCGCCTGAATATTTCTAATAAAGTTTCAGATAAAGTTTTATTTGTAAATTATTTTATTCAGTTAATTTACGAAAATAAGTATGCTGAATTTAGTTAAGAATGCAATATTTGAAAAACCTATTTCAAAAATTATGAAAAGTTGTTGATTACAGCATCAGAATGAAATTTGTAAAACTATCTTTAATTACATACGAAATTAAATTCGGCGAGCTTTTTTTCCCCCTTATTTTTTTTAAGTCGGTCGTCCTAATTGCTATTAAAATTTAGACAAATTTCAAGTCAAAAATTATATAAGAAAGATAAATGGGTATTTTTGATTTGGCTACAAAATTAAGTATATTAATGTTGCACACTTTTTCTAACTTTGAAAATTATTTATTGAAACGCGTTTTTGAAAACTTTTTATAAACATACATGTACATAAACGAGATAAATGCTTAATTTTTACCTTTACTTGAAAAACTACATCATATCGGAATTAAACAGCAGTAAATAAATATATATATCTACACGACAGTTTTTCTTTTACACGACAAAATTTAATCATAATCTTTAAAAAATTCTTACTTTGAAATGTGCTACTGTTCAAAATATCAAAATTTTTTTATTATGATTTGTAACACATTTACATTATTTTTATTTAAAATCATTAGAGGTTGCCCCAAAAATTTAAATGAGATTAAAATTTACGCAAAATTTAATCTCATATTTTTTGTTTACATTTATTTAAATAAATCTCTTAACAAATAATCTCAAAATATAATTTCGGGTTTAAATATAATGTATTACTTTTCTCAAAGTATTTAAATTTTAAATTTAATTTGGTACTAATTTAAAATATTGTCACAACTTTGAGATGTGTATTTAAGATAAGGTAATCAGTTAGTATAATTGTAATAATTGATATTAAAATTTTATGAATATTTTTCGGCATATAAAGAAAAATTTTCTGAGATCGTAAATTGCGGAAAATGTTTCGAAAACGGTTTGACAATAACATTAAAAACATCACCTCTCTTAAAGAAACTAAACTGAAATAACTTACTTTCTAGGTTTGCTATATATCATAATGTAAAATAAAAGTTTATATCGTCCTTTAATAAGCACAATAAAGTTAAAATTGATGTTAAAAATAACTCTTTAAAATAATGTCGGCGTCATAAACAGCGCTATTGTGCTTGTTGAAAAAGAACTGAGAGCACAATTTCAAGCTTTGACTCTCGAATTCAAATTAACAAATTGAAAAAGAGAATTGCAAATTACGACAAAATCGAATTTTTTAATCGGAAAAATGTATGGTTTTTGTGTACAAATCCGTTTACGCTTCTTCAATTTTATAAGCCGAAAAATATTCAATGCAATGCTACCCATAAAAGTTATATAATGAATTTTTTTTTCTTTCTTTCTTTCAGAATTGGACTATCATCAATATTAAAAATTTCTAAATTTTTTCGTTGTGTGTGTATGTGTATGTGTGTTTACGTGTATATGTGTGTGTTGTGATTATCGTTTGTACTTTCATATACTGAAGACAATTCCCAAATCAACGATTCTAGCAAAAAGGTAAAGTAAATCAATTGCATTCTGTTTTATTAATTTTCAAATTCATTTAACTATTTTTTGATAAAATGTAGGAAAAAATACTTTTATGAATTAACATTTATAACGTGTAAGAAATTATTTTTATTTATTTAAATGACGGGTCAATGTATGAACGAAGAGAAGGAAAGGCGAGCAAACTAAGCCATTTCTTAAACGAAGGGAAAAAAGTTAGATCGATACTTGTAATGATTAGTTATCCATCTGGATATCCGATTTAATCAGCTTTATGTAAAAAATATGCCTTTTAATTGTTTAATTTCTATCAAGTTAATATAAAGTTTAATTATAAGCCTATTCCATACCGTATATAAATTAATCAAATTAGTTACTCTTATTTAGTAATGTTAATGCAATATCTAATCTTTAATCTTCGATCTTTAATGTAATAAAGGATTTTTTGAGATAAGAGAGTATTTTGTGTTTAGTTTCAATTAAATTACTGATGATATATCGGGGCCAGATTTTTAATTTACAGCTTGGCTGTTTTAATTTTATTGCATTAGCGAGATAACACAATTTTCATAATGTCTTATCTAAAACGAGATTAAAGTTTATTAAAAATACGATACATTATTATTAAATATACGTGTGTATGCACACAGTCCATTCTAACTAATATGGGATATGATTCACCCTTCAACTTTTGAAGGAAGTTTCGAAAATAAATTCCCATTCTTGTGTTACTTTTATAAATCGTCGTTTTATGGATGATGCAAGCACTGGAAAGCTCATTTTAAAGAATATTTATGCTTATTATAGATATGGACGACTCATTAATAAAACTTTGAAACCAATAACTCTTGACTATTATAGGAAAAATTTTATTGTTTTCAGTAATCATTGTAAAATGCATTACATATAAAAATTAACGATTCACCTGTAAGTAATAAAATTATATATTGGACACTGTTGAATTTTATTTAATAACAATTCAAATAAAATTTGATCATTAAAGTATAAAACCACATTAAACCCATCAATTTCGATAATCAAATGTACAGAATTTTGATTTTTAAAATTTAGCAGTTGTTGCCTGCATACAACCAATTATCAGCCTTCTCAGATAAAATTAAATTGGGTCGAATTTTAGGCTATTATTTTTTTTAATTAAAATGTTGCAAAAATCTTGCACGTATCAATAATTGATTTATCACGATATTTTTTCACTTATCATTGCAGATTTCATTAAATATTTTAGTTCCTAAAATTTGAAAAGACATTGATAGCGAATGTTAAAAATATAAATTTTAAAATCGTTCTTCGTTTTCTATTGCATGTAGATAAAGTAATCCCGCTTTTATATACTTGTCTTATAGTTTTAATAGAACTAATAACTACTAAAAAGCACCAAATATATAATTCCTGTAAGTAAAAACTATTAAGAAAGTATAAAGCTAAAAACTTTTTGTTTTTGGAGCTTCCATGAAACTTTGCTTGAGACTTTTTCAAGGAATATCGTAAGTTATTTAAAATCCAACGCCAATAAAAAAAAAAACATTTATTTAAAAAAACGCAAGCTAATTAATTTTCAGAATGCGCGTTTTTCAAAGTACTGAGATTATAGAGAATTAACTAATCGTATTCGGCGATACCGTAATATTTAAAATTACTACGAACACGAAACAGGTCAAGCTGTAAAAATCGACGCAACAACAAATGATTATTACAATGAAGAAATTATTTTTATCTCATCAATTATACTTCTGTAATATGCAAACAAATTCAATGATTATTTTGTTTAATGGTTTCTTTTGTTTGAAATTTTGATTGTCCTTTGGACGTGAACAAATGAGAACGCATTAAATAAACTGTCAATTTTTAGCTATCGGAAAAACAATAAATCCTGTTACACTGATTAAGTCAATAAATTTGAAGCAAAGTTATTGATTACGTGACAAATTTTTGTTAAATGTTAGGCATAGATACAAAGCAATGGATTAGTTGAATGACGCTATTTTATATTCATGATAATTAATATACACTTTACCCTTACGCCATCCCCTTTAAAAGCAACCTATCATCACACGCCATATACGATAAAGTATCACTTAGTATAGATCTTAGTAGAGCGTAAAGGCGGGCAAAACCCTCTAAATATAGATACACACATTTTAATAATTACTTTCCTAAAAACTTTTATAATAATAATAAAAAATTTACAATTATCGAAAATATTCGCGGTATTCTCTAAACTAATTGAAATTGTAAATTTCCCGGAGTAATCAAAATAACAACAACACGATATATATTATGTCAAGGTTGCTGCATTTTTATCGTAAATAAAATATTCATAAAATAACTATAGGACTTTCGCTTAAAATATGTAATAGATACACAACTATTATCCATGTAAATCCGTTTCGTTTTAAAAATTTACGATGTTCCTGTATAATGTGTTTTGCCGTCGTATTTCATATTTAAAGTATTTTGTATCGCTAACTGTTGAGCTCCATTATAAAATACTACATTAGCCAAATATTTTATACTTATTAAAAAAAAGAAACCTTCCTATTTCTGCCTGCATTCGTTAAATTTTAAAAACTTCTCTGCGCGATGTATACATATATACATNTGCATTTCTTTTTTATTTAATCGTAATTTTTTTTCTTAATTAAAATTCGATACTCACTTAAACTATAAATCAACTTTCTTCCCTCCTTTCTAAATAAAATGCCTCCTGCAAAGTTTTAGCATTTATTATAAAGTCCCAAACGATTTCAATTAATATTTTAAATTCACTCGGTTATGCCAATTTGATGTGTTAAGTACCTCCACGAATAAAAGCGAAATTATGTAACCAGTTATTAAAGTTTATTAGAAACGGATTTAAATTCGTTTTCTATAAATAACGAATATTTTCGGATATAATTAATCAGAAATGTGTGTCGAACTGTTAAGCGCGTTTCTTAAAGAATCGTGTGATAAAATGAGTTTTAAGCTCAGAATAGTTCTAAATGCATATTAAATTTGCAAAGTCTGATTTATCTTTATTTTATATACAACTTTCGTCTATAAGAATTAATCGCCACTACACAAACTCTGCTTAAAACAGAAATTACAAAGATGACTTTGTTTAAACTTTGTGACTTAAAAGATTTAAGAATTTATATTAACTATTTGATTAATTTAAAAAATTATTATTAAATATTCTGCAAGATTAATGCAAAAATAATAATAATAAAGTAATAATAATAACAACATAACACTTTGACCTACAGAAACGGAACTTTTAACGAGGTTTCCTTTTTAAAATAATTCACTGACCTCTAACGACTCCAACAGGCGTCATAGTCATGCTTACAAAATCTATAATCATCAAAAAATATGGTAATGAGTAAGATAGAAGACGAGATTTACGTTTGGACCACACCCTCATTACAGAAAAGGAAGTTTTAAAACGATTCGACCTAGCGATAAGAACAGGGAAAAATTAATAGGAAATTATTTCAGAGTAATATATTAGAATTTTGCATTTGAATACTTTTTTTAATTGATGGTATCCAGTATAATTGAATTAAGTGTATTTTTAGGTCTTTAGATTAATCGATTAATATGATTAAAAAATATATGTATTGAATCATATTAATGTCCTTTTGGTATAAAGTTTATTTCAGTATCGGCTAATTTAATTAGTTAAATGGGAAATCAATCAATCTAACTTATCAATATGATAAAGTATGTTTTAAATGGAAGTCATATGCAAATAAGAATTTTCTATAGTCATATTTAGGTTAATATAAAATCCAGACTAATAAAACTTGGCTTTAATGTTTGATAAATATCGAATTATTAATAATACAAAATTACAGTATCCATGATCATTTAATAAAAGCGCTAAAGTTTCACTTCCGTTACCTTTTCCATATAAAATATGTTCTTTCAATATCAAGTTATACAGTAAAACCTGCCTAAACGGAAAGAATTCTTCGGAAAGAAACCATTTTTTGTTTAAAAAACCTGTCCAAAACGGAAACCTTCCAAAACGGAAACCTTCCAAACCGGAAAAATATTCGGTACAGAGAGATTCCGGTTTACACAGGTTTTACTGTATTTAATTTGAATACTGATCTGTAAAAATATAGAATCAGTATTCTAATTCTTTTTTTATAGTCACCATTTTCTCAACCTTTTTAATAGCACAAGTGTAATCATTCTATTCTTTATTTTCGTGACATAGCATATAAAAGTTCATATTTCGACACGAAGCCAATTCAATATCATCCATCCATTGTGTATATATGCAGATATTCGTGTTAACAGTCATAATTTAAAAACAATTGTAGAGTATCTAAATTGTTTTAGTTATTAGCAGAGACGATCTCACATTAATATTACATTCGTCCTGCTCTGAGATTAAGCGAACCACAAAAATGAATGATGATATAAATTGCGGATCCAGGATATAATAAGGCCTCTCGGTCTCCGAACTCCCAACAGAGCCTCTCATAAAAACAAGTTACAGTACTTATAAACGTACTCCGTATAGGCCTACATCTGATTGCTGTCCATAATTAATCTAAAATTGAATGTATTTTCGTGAGTAAAAGAAAAAAAAATCAATTATACGAAAAGAGCTGAAAATAATTTCGAGTTTCACAGTTAATCCACATTGTCTGCGGTGGTGTCCTATTTATGATACAGATATACTATTTATTGAATAGATTAAAATAGATTTTTGAATCTTACTTGTCATTCTATACGTTCTAACACAATTATTACAGTGACTATCAAAATGTCAATGTATCCATCTTTTGACTACATTATACCATTAAAAATAACTTCACGCGTAGAGCTCATCGCCCGTAGCCAGATTTAGTTGTAAATGACATAATTTATAACATTGCACTCATTAAATACGAAATGTCACAATGGGTTCAACATTCTCCGCGCTTAAAATTAACGTCTTTAAAAGAATAACG